CGCACTATTCATATTCTTGAGGATATGCTCCGTGCGTATGTGATGTAGTTTGGAGGTTCTTGGGATCAGTTCTTGCCACTTACGGAGTTTTCCTACAACAACTGTTATCAGTCCAACATTCAGATGGCACCGTATAAGGCTCTGTATGGTAGGCGGTGTAGATCCCCGGTGGGTTGGTTCGAGCCGGGCGAGGCTAGATTATTGGGCACAGATTTGATTCAGGATGTTTTGGAGAAGGTTAAGGTGATTCAGGATAGACTCCGCACAGAGCAGTCCAGACAGAAGAGTTATGCAGACCGGAAGGTTCGCGATGTTTCATTTATGATTGGAGAGCGGGTCTTGCTTCGGGTTTCGCCTATGAAGGGCATCATGAGATTTGGAAAGAAGGGCAAGTTGAGCCCAAGGTTTATTGGCCCCTTTGAGGTGTTGCGATGTGTTGGGGAGGTTGCTTATGAGCTTGCCTTACCTCCCAGCTTGGCAGAAGTTCATCCTGTATTTCATGTTTCGATGCTCCGAAGATATCACAGCGATTTGCCTTACGTGTTGGATTTCAGTTCAGTCCAGTTGGACAAGGATCTATCTTATGTTCAGGTTCGAAAGCTGAGGTCAAAGAGCATTGCACTAGTAAAGGTTCAGTGGCGGGGTCAGCCGGTCGAGGAGGCAACTTGGGAGACCAAGCAGGATATGCGCAACCGTTATCCTCGTTTTTTTACCACTTCAAGTATGTCTTTATGCTCGTTCGAGGACGAACAAATGTATTAAGAGGGAGAGGATGTAACAATCCGGCCGGTCGTTTTGAGAATTAACACCCCGATCCCCTATTAACTGCTTTTTGTGTGTCTTTTTCTGCTATTGTGATTGCCGGGATGGTTCATCTTGCGTTTTGGAGTGTTTTAGGACACTTAGTCCCTAAATGAGAGTTTAAAATCTTAGAATTTGGACCGTAATCGGAGCAGTGTGAAGACGGCTGAGGAATGGAATTCCGTCAATTCCGTTAGCTCCGTTAGGTGTTCGGGCTTTTGGACATGTCCGGATTGTATTTTGGAGGTCCGTAGAATATTTAGGCTTGAAATGACAAAAGTTGAATTTTTGGAGTTTCGAGCCGATAGTGGAATTTTGATATCGGGGTCGGAATCCAATTTTAGAAGTTGAAATAGGTCCGTAGTGGTGAATGTGACTTGTGTGCAAAATTTGGGGTCAATCGGACATGGTTTGGTTGGTTTCGGCATCGGTTGTAGAATTTTGGAAATTCAAGTTCAGTAGGTTTGGATTGGAGGGTGATTCGTGGTTTTAGCATTATTTGATGTGATTTGAGGTCTCGACTAAGTTCGTATGATGTTTTAAGATTGAATGGTATGTTTGGTTGAGATCCTAGAGGCCTCGAGTGAGTTTCGAATGCTTAACGGATTTGATTTGGACTTAGGCATTTTTCTGAAGTTGTTGAACCTGATATAATCGCACCTGCGGATGTGGGACCGCAGGTACGGTGTTGCAGAAGCGGCTGAGTGGACCACAGAAGCGGAAATGGACTTGGCATCAGAAATCGCAGATATGGCTGGGGGACCGCAGATGCAAAACTGCAAATGCGGCCCCAGCCCGAATAGGTGACTTCAGCACCTGCGATGATTTTTCCGCAGGTGGGGGACCGCAGATGCGGTGGGCCCCCCGTAGAAGCGAGATCTCTAGCAAAAAAGGGCCAAATCGAGGGTTTTATCGTATTTTCAATTTTGGGACTTTTGGAGCTCGGGAGAAGGCGATTTTTGTGAGGATTTTAAAGAGGAAATCAGTGGGTGACGATTCCTAACCCTATTTTGTTTATAGTTCATCAATCTATAGTAATTAAATTTGAGTGGAAAAAATGGGAATTTGGGGAAAACGTTCCCTAATCGAATTTTTAGGATTTGATCGGGTTTTAAGTGTCGGAATTGAATAATTTTTGGACAAGTGATCTCGTTGAGTGAATGGGTATTCAAATTAGTAACTTTTACCCGATTCTGAGACGTGATCCTGGGGAAGATTTTTGGGCGTTTTCCTATTTTCTCGCCTTAGCTTTAAATTCATTAGTTAAATTAATTGATTGTAGTTATATTTACGTTATGTAATTGATTTGATTAGATTTGGGCCACTCGGAGTTGGATACTCATGGCAAGAGTGTGATATCAAATTGATTTGAGTTTAGTTTGAGTTAAGTGGCTTGCCTAACCTTGTTTGAGGGAATTCCCCTTAGGATTTTGGTATTGTTATTATATGAATACCATGTACATGAGGTGGCGATTGTGTGCACGTGCTAATTGTTGAAAAAACCCGTTTTCATTAAGTAGATAATTATGTTTTCCTTTAATTAAGCAATACTAGTACATGTAGTCTCCTGTTTAGCTTAGGAAAGCATGATTACGTGCCTTAATTGTCTTATCTGCTTTAGCTGTTTACCTGCTATTGTGCAACATGTTTAGGGTTGGAAATACCTATCTCTTTGATACAGACTTGAATAGAACTGTAGATTTTCATGTTGAGACTGTTGTGTATATTGATTGAGTTGTGTATTTACTTTGGGACTACGGAATGATATTCCGGGAGATCCCCATGGATGTTTACTTTGGGACTACAGAATGGTATTTCGGGAGATCTTTCTACACATTTATATTTGGGACTACGGGACGGTATCCTGGGAGAACTCCCTATACTGGATATTTACTTTGGAATTACGGAACGGTATTTCAGGAGATCCCCCTGCATATTTACGATTTGAACTACGGGACAGTATCCCGGGAGATCCTCTGCACATTTACGTTTGGGACTACGGGACGGTATCCCGGGAGATCCCCTGTTGCTTTTCTCTGTGTACTGAGTTATGATTTCTCTTGTGATTTCGTTTTACTGACTGTTAGCAATTACCATCACTGCCATATTTCATACTGCTTTATCATGTTATATATATAACCAGTAGGGCCCTGACTTGATTTTGTCACTACTCGACCGAGGTTAGGCTTGGCACTTACTAAGTATCGTTGTGGTGTACTCATGCCCTTTCCTGCACATATTTTTCATGTGCAGATCCAGGTTCTTCTTCTCAAGCATACTTCCAGTGAGACGAGACGATTCAGAGACTTCGAGGTATATCTGCCGCGTCCACAGACCTAGAAGTCCCTCTCTATTCTCCCTTCAATTATAGACTTTCGTGTATTTTTCTTCGTTATTAGACTTCTGGAGATAGAAATACTATGTACTTCTTTAGCTTGTGATTCATGAGATTCCGAATTTTGGGAGTGCTATGTTCATACCACATATTGTGTAGCATTTTCTTATTTGAATTTTTAGTATGTAATATGTAATATAGTATTCGATTTTTGAAATAAAAAACAAAAGAAAAGGATTTTGGTAGTATAATAATTTGTAGAAAAAGTCCCTAGTTATAGATATTGGCACCATATAGCTAACAAATATATATCATAATAAAAATATGTATATCACAATTTTATTTTCCTTCTTTGTGTATATCAAAATGTATTGTATATCAATTTATTTTACCTTCTTTGTATATCCAAAATATAAAATTTATAAATATAGTTGCTTAATTTTTATTGTTGTGTCTTTATCAATGTATATTACAATAAAAAATTGTATTACTTGCATATCGCGACACATCGAATATGTGTATATCAAAACGAATATCACAAGATTATTTTCCTTCTTTGTATATACCAAAATATATACCATAAATTTATTTTTCTTCTTTGTATATTAAAAATGTATACCAAAATTTATTTATTCCCACGATTATATTTATTATTTTATATTTTAAAACTTGATCTAAACCTGTTATATCAAAAAAAAAATTCCTTCTTTGATCAAGAAAAATTTAATACAATTGTTCGGAAAGAATTTTGCCCTCTTAAAATCAAATTGGACGACTTGATTCCAATTTAACCTTATATTGTCAAATCTAATAATGTATATCACGATATACAATATGATATACATATACGTATACATGGCGATATACATAGATGTACATCATCTCAAACACATATATTTTTATTAATTAAAAAAAGAGGGAAGAAGAAGAAAATTAGAAGCTGCCTCTTGAAAGAGAAGGAGAAGAACAACAAAATTCATTAGTACGAGAATTTACATCTAAGCTACCTGATACCCGTTGAATCTAACAAAAAATAAAAAAAGAAGAAAGAAGATAATTTTGTATGAAGACAATGCATCATGCATAGCCCAATGGAATGGAAGGGAGGGTTCATAAAAGGAGATAGGACAAAGCACATTTCACCAAAATTATTTTTCACACATGATCTTTAAAAGAATGATGATATCAATGTGCAACAGATTCGTTCAAGTGATAATATAGCTGATTTGTTCACCAAATCTCTACCGACATTAACCTTCAAGAAGCTAGTGTACAAGATCGAGATGCGAAGGCTCAAAGATGTGAATTGATGCACTTATTCGGGGGAGTTAATACGCGTTGTACTTTTTTTCCCTTATAAGGTTTTGTCCCACTGAGTTTTCCTTACAAGGTTTTTAACGAGGCAACTAAAAGGAATATTTCTAAATATGTGTACTATTTTTCCTTTACTAGAAATTTTTTTTATTGGATTTTATTTTAGTTAAAATTTTAACGAGACACATTATTTATTGAATAAACATTCAAGAGGGAGTGTTATAAATAGAATTGCACTTAGAGTGAATGTCTATTTTCTAGAGAGTTTGTTACTTTGTGGCTAAGTCATTATTCCCCTATAAATAAAAGGGATTTTACCCCATTGTAAATCATGTGAAATTCAATAAAAATTATCTCTCTCTTTTCCGTGCAATATTTCCCTTTTGCTTTGTTGTTTTATTTCAATCTGAAATATGATTTTTCGCTTTTTACCTCTTAGTTTTTACTTTTTGGATAGAGATATATCTCTCGTCAGTTTCTGGGAATTTGGCTATATTATTCCAATTTTGTTGGGCTTAAATTGCTAAATCTAAAATATTGCCAAAACGTGTTGGCAGTTGTCATGGTGTGCCTAATACACTTATCTTTCCCCTATTAATAAACGGGTTGAGAAAATCCGACCCGGTAAAGACCGAAGCTACCTTGGTTTTGCAGAAATGGCTTGTCACTCAAGTAAAAACAAGTACTAGAGCAAATCAATTCTCCGTCTAAAATAAAACAGTCACTTCTTAGCTACTAAGGATTTGTTTTTCTAAAGCTGTAATAAATCTGATCAAAGATGTTTCTCACTAGGTAAACTTCATTATTCGGCTTAATCTAGGGTTTTTTTCTCAATACAGTTATTTTCTTTTCAAATCTCTGAAGAATTTGTTATTTTTTTGTTACTTTTTCTCCAGAACTGAGTATGATAGAGGTGTGAACACATTCTCTCCTGAAGGAAGATTGTTTCAAGTTGAATATGCTATTGAAGCCATTAAGGTAAGTTAAGATGGAATTATTAAACGGATTTATTTATATGGTTTAAATGGTTTAATTTAGATTAAGTTTTTTTTTTGTTGTTTTGTGGGTGTAATAAAGTTGGGATCGACGGCAATTGGGATAAAGACTAAGGAAGGCGTTGTTCTTGCTGTTGAGAAGCGAATTACCTCTCCACTTCTGGTTTGTACTCTTCTAGTTTACTTTAATATGAATTCCTGCTTTGTGTTTCATAAGTTAATTGGGTTGGATTTAAGTTATATGCACTGATGGTGTAAAGGTTTTCTTTCAATATCAGTGTATTTTGACCTATTATAGAAGATATCTTCCCATTTTAGGGGTTACCAATCAAAGTTCTTATAGAGAATTACCTGCAGCTTCCTTTTAAGTGACTTGATGGTGTAGAATTTTCTTTGTACCGTCATTGAACTTATACTCGATTGGGTTATATATGTCGCGGATTTAATGTTGTAACTAATAATTGTTTTATGAACTTTTTAGTTCTCCGTGGACTATACTGGGGTTGCAGAACTGAGATTTCATCAGTGAGTTACCCTGTGAAAAATTTCTGGTCCAAATTTTCTTTTAGGTTGCATGCGTGGGGGTGGGGGGCATAATCCACTATGTGCCTATGCAGTTTGTCAAATAATTTGAACAATTAGATTTGGATGACTAGTAAGATAAGAAGTTGGAGTCTTTTTTTTTTTTTTTTTTTTTTTTTTTTTTTTTTTAAAAAAAAAAANTTGTGATGCCATGCCCGTTAATCGAAAGACACTATCTAGTGCTAGGTACAACGTTAAGAAGAGCTTTTTAGATACTAATAGCTAAAAGAGGTAGTGGCTATGTCAAAAGAAAAAGGCTGAGCAAGTTTTAGATCAGGAATTTTGAGAAGTAAGGAACTACTGTCCCGTTTGTTGCCTCTTGCTCACCTTTTTAGCTTGCTTGGCTATAACTTTTTGTGAGTTTACTACATTTCAAATTGAAGAAATTCTTTTTCTTTAGCTAATCCTTCAGTTTATCTGTGTTTATTGTCATTCATAACTCAATTTTATATTTTTGATCTTGCAGGAGCCAAGCAGTGTGGAGAAAATTATGGAAATTGATGAGCATATTGGCTGTGCGATGAGTGGATTGATAGCTGATGCAAGGACTCTTGTTGAACATGCACGAGTTGAAACTCAGGTATTTAGATCTGAAGGTTAAACCATTAAAATTCAAGTCATTCTATGCAAGGAAAAGGTAACTGGCTAAGCTTGCTTATTCTGTATTCCCTCTTTTCAATAGAACCACAGGTTTTCTTATGGTGAGCCCATGACTGTTGAGTCCACAACACAAGCTCTGTGTGATTTGGCCCTGCGATTTGGGGAGGGTGATGAAGAGTCTATGGTAAGAGCTTTTTCTTTACTTAGCAGTTTCGCTCTTGTTACTTAGGGACAGGTATATTTCAAGCAGAACCATTCAAAATCCCAATTCATTGCTTTCTAATTTTGATTAAAAGCATGTGCCATTCAATATTTTGCTTTTCCCATTTATTTTGATTGAACTTTTGGAGCTTGATTGACGACGTAAATGTACTTGTACTATTAGATATTTTGTTAGTGTTGCTACTTGAGTGGGTAAAAATCGTACTTTATTGACTGGATTGAGCTGTTTCATTTTATGGGGCTGGTGAATCATTTGTGATTACGCTGTTTTCTCATCTACCTGTCTCATTAAGACACTATGCATGTACATGTAACAATGCCTGTGTGTGGAATACTGTTGATTTTGTATATTATTACTTGGACAGAAAAATTATTAACTTATAGTGAAGGTCATTAATTTACTGCTCATCTCCGTTCTCTTGTATATGTGGGGTCTCGGTATCCTAATGTACGTGAAATGCTTTAGACATCTGTATACAGAAGCCCTGTATTGTACTGATAGAACTAGAGGCTGACTGATGGATCTAGAGATCTTCATTTAAGCTGGCATTTGCTTTTATGGTAGACTGATGGTGACGATAGAGACTATTGGGTGTATTTCCTCGGATTATATAGTTCTGTGTACAGAATGTCTTGAAAGATGTTTTTTGATCATTTTAGTGTGTATAGATAGTCTGTGTTGGGTGTGTATGGATACAAATATTCTCTGTCCGATTGCATAATCTGTAGTTATGTTTTCTAGCGCTGACTTAGTGCAAGCATTATAAAATATTTGATTACTTATCAAAAAAAAAAAAAAAAAAAAAAAAAAAAAAGCCTCTGTCCAATTTCTACATTCTAAGAATATTAGATATCTTGTAAATAAAATAAAAAGAAAAATTAAGGAATGTGAGATCAGAAAAAAAATTCTGCTTTATAACATGTATTTATAGATGATAAATCTGAGTGGAGGACCTGGTTAGTTATGGTTGTTTTCCGTGAGTGGATCTGATTCATCGCGTAGAACATTTTGCTAGTGCTCACACATAGTCTCTGTCATTTTGTTTTTTCTCTCTTGAAAAAATCTTAAACAGTAACGAGGTGAGCTGAGGTCTGGATCCTGTTAAAACGCACGCTATCTAGAATAATTGATTTCTCGTCAACATATATGGATGGCACCTTGTTTCTTCTGTTTCGACTAGAGTAAGATTCAAGTCTTCCACTAAAATTCATTATCTTTGATTTTATGCAGTCCAGACCTTTTGGTGTATCACTTCTCATTGCTGGCCATGATGAGAATGGTCCGAGCTTGTAAGTATTTGCTTTTCGTGAGATTGTTGGAAGTATTGCATTATATTCTAAGTTTTCTTCTCTTTTTGTGTTTGATCATGCTTGATGAAGCTGCACGCAATCATCTATTAGTTTGTCATCTTGTTTTGTGTTTGTGCATTAGATACACCCCTAGATATTTTCTGCTGATTAACAGTTGGTTGCCTGCTAGTTGAACCCTTTGCCAACATGGCATAACTTTCTGTTAACATGCTACTCTACAGTTTCCAACCTAGTAAATCTCGCCAGTCATCCAATCTACATACAAGAATCATGATCCAAGCTTCCTATTTCTCTTTTAGTTTCCTTTTTCCATTTAACTTCATTTGTGTGTGCACGTGCTTGTGTGTCTGTGCATGTCAATTGGTCTTAATTGTAACTTTTTCATCAATGATCCTGAGTTATTCTGGAAAAGGACTGATCACGCCCAACTCTAGTCCTAAAAAGGATAAACGGTTGCTGCAAATATAATCCGGTCTAAAAGTCCGGAGTTGAATCCCACAGAGAACTAAGGCTTAGCT